TTTAAGAAATGACCGGTTCTACTGACCACAGAGGATGACTGGTTTGCTCATTGACGGCTTTTTTATTCTCCAAACGACACGTTTGCAACACGCGACCCATGTGCTCCAAAAGCCAGCGCTACTTAACAGAGTGACGAAAAGAGTAGTTAAGATAGGAAGTCCAGGATGTAATATAATTTAAGACAACGACCATACCCAACGACGTCGCCCGCGAGAGCGAAACGCGACTCTCCGGCTAGAGTGATTCCTCCAACTAGTAGAGTAAACAGGGGAGACTAAAGGTCTGGCCACGGAACAACGCTGCTAGCGGCCGGCCTAAACGGCACTTAGCTACTGATCCACAGTATTTATAACAGATGTACAATTAATCTTCTGCAAAGTCGAGATAATGAACAGAATAAACAAGCTTGGGGACCGACTCTGTATTTAAAAAACGAATGGCAGTACACGATTGACTTCAGTATGTTTGTGTGTGGTTTCCCTTTAGTCGAACCACTGCATAAGGTATATTGTCCCCGTCTCCTAGTCTTCCTCGACTACACAGAAGCAATCTGGTTCGAGACACTTTGCGTGGTATGTTTGGTATGGATATCATTTTCACCCTCCAGTAAACGACAGAGCTCTGGGGTTCCGGCTCCCAGCGGCGGTACGGAAGAGGTGTGACTCAAATCGCCTTCGGTAAAGAGCAGATCTGTTAAGTTACCATACCTTACATCGAAGATGTTTATACAGGATGTTCACCCTAAAATGGTGCAGAACTCTGTTTTCCTTTTTTTAAATGACATGAAGTTTAGAGTTTATGTAGCAGCATGTTGAATTCTGGTACTTCTTTTCACCATAGATTGGTCAAAATGTTGCCTAAGTGGCAACTAACATGCTCACATTACAATACTAAATGCTATTTTTTTTTTTTATTGCAGGTTACCATGTTGACCATCTTAGTTTAACATGTTGGCATGCTAATATTTCTTAGTTAGCACTAAATACATAGTACAGAGGGGTCGTATTTGGTCACAAACCAAAGTATTGGTAAATTAACGATGAAAATGAGATGAAACGCTACTACAATTCATCCAGAGGGGCACATGAATGTCTCTGCCAGATTCCATTGCAATCCATCCTAAAGTTGTTGAGACATTTCACCTAAAACCAAAAATGTCAGCCTTGTGGTGGAACTAGAGGAAAAGCCAGGCGATTACCAAAGTAAGGAGATATTAAATTAGGACTTGAGTATCTGTATAACATTTCATGGCTATGAAATAGCAGTTGGATAGTTGTTGAAATAGTTCAATCTCTACCAAAGTGAAAGACTGACAGCTTTTGTTTAAAAATACACTAACCAAAGGACACTTTTTTTTTTCGTTTCCATTTCCTTTTTTTCTGTGGTTACATTGTTCTGCTGTCTTACAGAGTACAGTTGCATCGATACTTGTTACTGACGTTTCTTTTCTCTTGTTTTTATTTGCATATTTGGAGTTGAGGTAATCCAAAAGTAACGGAAATAAATCAAGTTACGTTACTTTAATATTGTGATACTTGGATTAATTACTGACTACAATTTTAAATAGGTAATTAGTGATCGCAACAGATTACATTTTCAGTGTAATCCTCCCATCCCTACTAGAAACACACCGCTAGAGCTCACTTGCATTTTGCACTGATATCACAGACAGGCCCTTTCTATTAGGATGATTGTTTATTCTATCCAAAACCCTAAACAGCATTTTGAAATTGGTGATTTTCTGTAAGTGCATTTGTACTAAATTATTTGTGCTTGTGTGGGTGAGTAGAGTAGAGTTGTTATTCATCTTACATACTAATAGTGTGCATTCATCCCTGAAGTTCTATAATGACAAGAAGGTGCAACTGTTTTATTCAAGTTATCTGAAGGTAAATTACATAAACTGTTGCAATAGCAGTGTCCCATGTGTTGAAAAGGTTTTTATAGCCAAAGCTTATTTCCAACTCCAATCCCCTGATGGGAACACTTTGGATAATTAGCTGACTTTTGCACAGGTTCTTTTCCTTTTCAATTTCAAGTTTTTTATTATTAACTTGTTGCTTGTTGAGCTCAGTCGCCCCCTTTTTCTTGTTGTTTATTAGAAACAGTAGTGGAGATGTGGAGAGAGAGCAGAAGGAAGCAGAACACAATAGTCATAGTAATAGCCAACGCTGGAGATACGGTCATCTGAGTGGTTACATAAGCCCCTCATACATAAAAACATTGTAACCGTTTGCTGCCTTTATGCAGGAATGTGACTGCTTTTGTTGGAGCCACGTTGAAGGATTTACAGCTCTTCTGGCAATTTATACATGGAAAACCACATGCCACACAAGGTGAAAATTGTCTGAGCATTTGCAAGCTAAGGTACACGTGGGGTGGGGGGATGGATTGTCTATAGATGTTGGTGGTACTATTTCTGTTTTTATGTGTTCAGCTTGTGATGAATATAAATAACTGGATATAAAAGAAAGAATCAACCAAGTCTTCCTCTGACATACTGATAAGCTATGCATTTAAGTCACTGTAAGACATTTAGGTATGGGAAAAGGATCCATCATGATATAAGATCACTTCTTTGAGATTCAGCTTCAGGTGTGATTAAACTAGACAACATACTCTATTCATTTGGGGCTCATGAGGGCCGCTGTCCATGACTATTAATTGTCTGTAGAAAAATACTTGATGAGAACAACTTGCCAATGAAGGATAACAGTAATAAGAGAAGAAGGTTCATTTATCACACTGCACCATGGAGATCTACAGGGATAGAGATTATATTTCCGATAGCACGTCCTGGCAGAAGCTGCTGGGTGTATTGTCCTTAGTTCATAAAACAGAAAAAAGTAAGGGTGCCCAGAGGAGCTTGTGAGCCTTGATTAGTTTCTATACCTTTAAACTTGTGGTATAGTGCAGTGTGTTCAGTTCAGTCAGTGTGATTTGAGAGATAAAACTGGACTGTATCTCCAGTCCCATGTCATAAGAGAAGCTGATTGCATAATGGGGGCACCAGACACTTGAAAAGATGTGGAATTTGCATCATAATGAGAATACAATTATATGTAAGTAATTAGTCTTCTTACATCCATTTGAAGCAGGAGAAATGAGACAAGTGGGGGAAATGAGATGTGCTTTTAATACAGCTGGTTACATGATGCTACTCCTTCCCATTGTCTGTGTCCGTTTTTGATGGTGAGAATAATTAACTGCCTTTTCTTGAGTCTGTAGCGCTCTGTACCTTAATATGTATTAATGCAGTTGGCATAACAATCCCTTTTACATTCTTCTTACATTTTAATTAGTGGACACTGTGGGGATATTGCTGAAAAAAGGATTTAATATTACTACTACTATAATTGTCATTTTACAACACCTTTATGTATATAGGCGTTTATATATATTATTTACAATTGATTAATAAGTCATACAAATAAAAAAATAAAATTTTGCATGATGAAGTGCTGCGGATGAATTTAGCAGTCCTACGGCCTGAGGGAAGTAGCTGTCTTTAAGTCTGGTCCTAAGGCAGCAGAAGCATTTGTACCTCTTTTCAGATGGCAGCAGGGTGAACAGGCTGTGGCTACTGTTTTTTAGTATCCTTTGGGCTCTGTGCAGGCTCCTCACCTCACCTAAATCAACCATGTCATGAGTGGACAAAGATTTATTGTGGCCTATCCTAAGACAGTATAACGTACTGCCAGTTGAGCTGTTCTCATTGGCTGCGCAGTTTCGACTCGTGAGTAGCAGGAAACAATGGTGGCTCGCCTAGTCACACGCAATCTCATATTACAGCTAAACAGTACACTAAAATATGTTTCTGAAATAATTTTAGGTGTAAACTAGGCAACGCAGTAACATAATCCTGCTTTGTATTTGATCAGCACTGCCTAGTTTGACAGTTTGATCTGAGTTTCATGCAGTGAGCTGGACAGATTCACTAAGAGTGACTTCTCAATCATAAGGTAGCCACCAGCCACACCCAAAAGCATACGCTGATTTATCTTCTATTATACTTTGAATTGAACCATAATTTACTAAATGAAAATCATAATGTATGGAAGAAGACTTGAAACTAGCGATTGAGACCATAAACTCATTAGTAAAATGTTTACTGAGCAAATAAATCAAGTTATAAGTCGGGTCCTTATTAATAGTATCTTTTTTTATTGCATCCACTGGAGCTCCCCCTGCTGGCCTTTACATAGAATGCAGGTTTTAAGACACTTGCATTGGCTTCACTTTTTAGACCCGGAATCTCTGTCCATTACATATATGTCAATGCTCGGTACACTGACTAGTTAATTCTTGCACAGTAGGTCATCTGATCATGAAATAATGTGAAATTTGTTCACAGGCAAACATTAAATTCAACATAAATGGAGGATACAGTTTCCAGTAATAAGTGAGTTCCATGAACTTGCATAGGACATTATTAGGAATACTAGTGATTTTCATTATATAACAGAGATGGGAACTTGAATTTCCCTTATTATCATGTGTAACATTACGCATGTGGCCACAGATGATTAACCTCTCGTTCACACAGCATGCATGAGCAGTGTGTGAGTGTTGCCTTGCTGAGCTGCTGCAGCTCATGCAGCTATGGTGTCCACACAGAGTGCATTTCTGCTGTAACTTTGTTGCTGTCGACCATAGGGCTATCTGTCTGCTCTAACCTGTTAATATGGGTGGGATAAAAAGCAAGATGTCCCACCATAGACACACGCTGCAGATAAAGGCACTGTGGGTTTAAACTGCAGCAATGACACCATGGGGAGCACACCTGCAGCTGCTGGGCTGTTTCTCATAACCTTTGACTACAGTAACTTCACACAAGGCCCAAACAAAAGATTTACTAAATGCAACATCAAAAAAAAGTTATCAGTTTATTGATTCCTGTAGGGAAATGTATTCTCTGCATTTAACCCATCCTAAGTACTAGGAGTAATTGGGCAGCCATTGTGCGGCACCTGGGGCCAACTCCAGATCTGAGCTGGAGAATTGACCGGGAAACTGGAGCACCCAGAGAAAACCCATGCACACGGGAAAGAACAAAATTCACATCCACCTTTATCTGGTACCTGAAAACACACCCAGATAGGTGAGTCACTTGGACGGTTAGCAAACATGTTTATCTCAGCATCAGCTATCGAACATTAGCTTGCTTCTAGCTTTGGAGCTAAGGGTGGTTAACTTGATTAGAGTGGCGTTCACTGCACTTTGTGTGCTTGCTATACTTGTTCACATGTTTACTTTGCTATAAAAATGGTCAGGTAACATAATCATCCACGTTCCGCTGCCTCCATCTGCTGGCTGACGTTAAACCGAGAGAAAGACCACGTTAGTGTCGGCTACAATAGGGGTCCAGGTTTATTGTCGACCATGTGACGTTACAGGCTTAGAGACGTTCTATGTAAGGGCCAGCAGGGGGATGAAATAAAAAACGATACCACGCGTCTTTGTTATGGAATAATCCTTTTTAAAAGAATACTATAATAAATAAATGAATGAATAAAATAATAATTAGCCAGCTTTAATTCAAAACAATGTTTTCTTCTCAAGGCTCTCCTTTATAATTTAATATATAATTTATACTTTAGAGAGTTAAAAATACCATTTTGTGGATAGTGGCATTAATGTGAACCAGGTAGGTGAAGTGTTTCCTTGTATTACAACTACTCTGTACAATGTGTCTCATGAAGAGCCCTTAAACAAGGTATAAGGTCAAGTGTGTAATAGTTCCAAATTCAGTGAAATATGTGCTGGCAGATAGGAACACAAGTTTATTTACTGCACTGAAGGATCACTCATGTGTATATACTGTATGTATGTGTGAAAGAGTTTCAAGATTCAGTATGCATTCTTTTCCTCTCGTTTTTTACTTTTGCACTCTGCCTCCAACCAGATAGATGTAGTTTTATCTCACTTTTGCAGAGCTACACCTATGGTAAAATAATAGTCACAGGGGCAAGATAATCAAACTTTGATAGCCAATCTTTTAGTGAGCAGACCTGGGAACTGCAAAGCAAAGCACTAGCAGGAGGAAAGGGTAATGAAATCAGGTGGATGGATGGGAATATTGCCTGACTGGATGGCTTGTGTGCTGCTGAGTGATAGCCTAGTAAAAAAATGGAGTCAGCGATATTTCCAGTGATTTAAACCAATTGCCTAAGATGGAGCTCATTCCAAACCAGCAGGCAACCGAGGCAGATAGATAGAAGAAGTAAAAAACAAACTACACCCTATAGGGTTGTTACAACGATGGCACATTGGGCGATGGACAAACTGAGGCGGCTCATTGGTCAGCTGTCGAGCTCCCGGCTTTGGCTGGATGGCTGGTTCATTGGCGGACAAAGTAATGAGGTGGATGGCAGCTTTACAAGACTCAGCGGTCTGCTCCACTCATTTGCTTACTGATACATTAGCTCGACCAACTGGCTAGTTTGTTTATCTGACTCACCTCCTGTCTGTGTGCTCGGGACAATCCATGCCTTTAATTTCCCCACCACACCTGAGATTCTCTCTCCGGCGTCCGCCTCTTAACCTCCTGATGCGCTGTAAACCGCAATCTTCTTCTTGGTCAGATGATGAGAGCGCGTTAGCCATTAATCTAAGTGTGAAATAGCCTGTGGAAACTCCAGCTCTATGACAGTGCTGAGTTGCTGGAGTGTCAAGGCCTGAAGGACTTAAATCGGATTTGGCACAGCTCTGAACATACAATCTCACTCCTTCCTGCGTCTGCTGTGTGAGGGTTCATAGAGGATTTACGTTTATTTGCTGTTAGAAACTCACATTATTTTCTTATTGATTACATTCTATGATCAGTCAAAAGCCTGTTTACTTGAGGCTTTGGTTATGACCTGAGCAAAGCCACTTGAAAAACATAAAACAAGACTCTTGCCTCTGGCTTTTCCCCTGGAGTCCTCAGAGCAGAACAGCAATGTACAGTATGAAGCAGATAACCACAACATCCGGAGCACAGCATGACATCCTAAAATGAATAGGAATCGCATTTCCTATTCCTAAGTACAGATAAAACGCTGAATCTCATCATTCATGCTGTTGCACATGAAATCAAAATTGTACCTTTAAACAGTGATATCACATCATATACCCAGTGAACATGTGTGCGGAATAATTGTGTTTACATGCATCATAACAGGATGATTAAGCTCATTAACAGAATGTGCGCATTTGTATAAATTCTCAGTTAAGGTTCCACAGGGGAAAGAAATGAGGCACATTTCTCTCAGATTTCTCTAACACAAAATGTATTTCAACCTTCTCTTACAGAACCTGACTTTTGCTCCTCATGACAAGAGGTCATTTAATTTTGTTTGTTTGATTAGGTCTGGTTTGGTTGATTAGCTTTTTATGGACAGACAAAGGCAGCTCCACAACATCGCATCTAAAGGAGAGCACTGTCTCTGCAGGAGGATGTGACATTCAGCGCCACTTGATGATAATCGCTATGACAAAACTAATCATGCTGCCAACTCCAATAATATAATGCCTGGCTCTTCAACAACCCCGTATGTGACAAAATAGAGTTGAAGGCATGTATACAGACATACATGCCATAAACACCCACACAGAGACAGAGGCCGTGCTGATGTTTTCTCACACACAAACCAGCACCTCATGTATACACACTGAATCCACAGTGACCTTGCAGATTGTCTGGGTTGATAATGTTCACACATAACTTTTTGAATACATTTAAATTTTAGACGAAATCTGAAGTGACATTCTGTGCCAGCTCAAACTTTCCTCAACGTTAGGAAGCAGCCTCCGTAAATCACCTCTTTTTTTTTTTAGATGAAAGAATCAAAGCTTGCTTCACTGCATTCACGGCAATCCCAATCCCAGTGTGAAGATATAAAATGGTGTGGGAACAGGTTTCAGTCCATTTTAATTCCCTCGACACTTGGTGATACGTAGCACCATATGTCAAGAGCGTGGCCACTTGCTGAGTGAGGGGGCAGGGTCAGAGAGGAACTGAAACACACAAGGAAAATGAAACACACCTGCTCTTAAGCAAGCCAAATGATTCATTGAAAACGGAGGAATAAAAGATGGCTTTCATTAAATATCATAAAATGTAACAGTAATAATATAAATGCATAATTGCATATGATTATACAGTATATTCCATCATGCATTGTACATAAAAAATGTAGAATATTCCAATGCATGCTCCTTTTTTTTTTTTTTGCTCCCTCGTCCCCTCAGCCTTCAATCTGTCAGTCTTACAGAACTCCACTCCAGTTTTCATCAGTTTTTTAAGGGATTTCCCATGAGGAAAAACAACAAGGAAAACATCAAGTTCTTCCTAAGAGACATTAGTGGACATTTATTTTGTTAAACACAGCAGGGTACACATTTTGGTGTGCATACTGGCTCACTGATATGCCATACTAGGACAGTTAAACTGGAACAGAGTCAATGTTAATCTTATTAATTATACCTGTGATTTCATTTTATTGCAATAACAAGTCAAAATGTCTGCTGTGACATCTCAATCCATCACCAAATAGGCTACACATATACACAATAGGCTGACAAAGCACCTTGTGGCTGATATATGTTCGATGTCTCAATAATATGTTTTTAAAAGCAGTCATTTGGTAATAAATCATAGTAGGAAGTAAAAACTATAGTTGCAAATAGTTGCTGAATTTTAGTTATGTCTGCTCTGATAGTCCACTTTTTCTGATTCATTTTTATTGTTTGATGTTTGTGCTTCTGACTGTACAGAAAAGAAAAGCTGTAGTGTGTTTCAGGTTTAAAATGATGAAGATCTACTTGTATTTAAAGAAACAACAGACCACATTGTAGATGATACTTTATTTAGATACAAGAAAAAAATGCATTTAGTGAGATTCAGAGTTTCATTTTATTCCATTGACAATGCACTGATTAACAGTAAAATTATATGTATTGTGTTACGTGTCGTCCATAAAGTAGACATTTTCGTCTGTACATGAGATTGCAAGAAATTTTGTTTCAAGAATAGAATACAAGTTCAGTCATGATGGAGTCATAAGTCATGTAAACAAAAAAAATATTTAAAAAAGCGAGTTTGACGGTATCGTGTGTACAGATCATTGACAGCATCGAATTCATTTTATTTGAATTTACCTTCAAGAGTACCGGTATATTCTCTATGGTGCACCAAGTGTCGACTGCTGCAATGCATTATGTCTTAAGCTTCTTATTAAATTAATGCCACACAATGTGTTCAATAAATATAATTACCACAACTGACAGTTTGCTGAGTTACTGTTGCTAAGCAACAGGTAAATTTAGAATTTTTGTTTACTTTTGAAACAATGGGTCTTTCATTTCAAACAGATGTAGACCTCACCGTGAGCTAAAGTGCAAACTGTTGCTGGCAGATTTTTATCAACTGTAGCGAACTCTGGTGGACTTTTAATGTTTCCAACTGACTGATTTCTAATCTGGTAACGGTTGCTACTGTATACACGAATCCGGGAGGTACTGGAAGTAAACAAGTCGCCATGGACGCTGTGGCGTCTCTCTACAGCACGCACGTGTTTGAATGCAAGCTGTCCTGAGAAGTGTACAATTTTCTACTTTTCTCTTTCCTTTCTAAATAACGTTACGCTTACAACGATGTACAACGAATCGAAATCGGGTAGAACCTGTGCAGTAATCAGCTGCTCCAACTTTGGAAAAAAAAATTAATGAGAACCACACAAGCCTTCATTTAGACTGACACCACACACTTTAGATTGCCTGGGCGTGCAGCCTAATATATTAATATTAGATAAGTGATTCCAAAAACAGACTGTATGTCAGTCAAAACAAACAAATTACATATAAAACGTTCTATGAAATTAAACTCTGCATTAATGTTTTTAATTAATTAATTAATTTAAGGTTTTGCACACATTATTTTCTGATTAATATCTCTTGAGTTAACAAGGCAGATTCAATATGACAAAAATTATATTTAGAAGCACAATGACTTGCTGGTCCATCATCATCTTCAGAAATCGTTTTCTGACAAATTATCTTCACATAAAAGCAAGAGAATACTTACAGTATTTTACATGGGAGAATAATACAATCATGTTCTTTTTAACAGCTTGTTAGAAAAATACTGGTACACAGAATATCGAGTAGAGCTACTGTAAAGGCAACTGGCAAGTAAAGCACAACACGTAAGCACAAGCAATTGTAAAGACTACAACAGATGTACAATCCTGCTTAGGTCACTTGTTAAAGTCTAAAGGAGAAGTGACTACATTAAAACCCATACGCCGGGTAATGCCTGTTGTAAGCTGTAGTTAATCATACACCGGTAGTACCATATGTTCGCACTATATGCCACAAAAGCACACACTGTGCAAACATGCTGATGTGTCTTCTTTGCTGGTTTAGAGGATCCACAGTTCCACAAGGATCCAGTGCGATAAACACAGCTGGTTTTCCTTCTGTACATTCAGAAGTTAGTCGAATTCAGCAGAGGGAACATACAATGTTTTACTGTATATGACTGCTCAATGATAAGTCCATAAACAGGGTAGAAAACTTCTTTACAGAGACTAAATAAAAATAGAAGGAGATAAGAGGCAATAAATGGCAACAAGTCTAAAATCAGATTAGATCTTATACTGTGCAGTTACCGCCATTAATCCATATTTCCTCTCAGACGTGTAAATAATTGAAAAAGGAAACATCAGGAAGTAAACTGACAGATTGCGTTGAAGTCATATGAACTCTGCAAACATATGACAATTAATTGATCTCTTTTTATTTTTTTACAGCCTGGAGAATTAGAGACAGGATGAGGGTTAGGTTTAGATCAATGAGGCAGCTTTGTACAGAGCGGGCAGAACAAAACAACATTGAATTATTGTCTTGAGTAAGTAGTTTTTACATTTTTATGTATTATTCTATACATTTCTCTTTCTTTACTGCACATTTTCAGACTGTGTAGTCTATATTGTCAAAAACTAGATCAGAATTTTGTTAAACTGTAATAGCATTAATGCACAATTTAGTCCAGCAACTTCTTGGTTTTCTGTTTAATTCGTTCCTGTATCTGTTTCAGTAAGAGTAAAAGCCTTGCACAGCCATGCAGTTAGTAATAGTTAGACTGGTTGGCAGGTGAATGGCCTGACCTGATGCAGCGCTGCAGTTAAGCTGGCAACACATCGTCAAAATGGTCTGTGCTATTGAGTCTCAGTCATGTCCTGGGTTGTTTGTATGTACGTGTGGTTTGTGTGTGGTCAGAGCCCTGTGGTGACCTGCGTGACCTCTGAGTTGAGGTCGTCGTTGGCAACGCCGCCACAACAGCGAGAATCCATCGACGACCCCTCCAAGGCTAGTCATACCTGCAGAGAGAAAGTGTGTTGAATGTTATGTTGTATGCATGTTATTTACGTTAAGTACCCTTGCATGAATATCAGCCATATTGCTAAAATAAATGAATTTAAAGTAGCCATTTAACAAATGTTTATTAGCTTTCTTGCTAAGAGTAAAAAAAGAAGATAGAGAAGAGATTGATACCACTCTCATGTCTTTATGCTAATTTTATTTAATCCGTACAAAAACAACAATTTGTGGTTTTATGGGAGGATATTTGGCAGATTATTTCTTGGCCTGGTAAAGTGGCAACCTTATGTTGATGATAAGTCTTGTGCTAAACTAAGCTACGATCAGCTGCTGACTGTAGCATCATATTTACTATGGATAAACAAGTACACCATTACCGTATACACTGATCAGCCATAACATTATGACCACCTGGGCACCCAGTAGCTCATCTGATTGGACCACAAGGGCCAGCCTACGCTCCCCACATAATTTCTGCCTGAAACTGTTATGGGTTGATCAGAAGTTGAAACATTTTACTATGATGATACTCATACTTAACACATACTAAACACATTATTTGTACAGTATACCAATTGTAGCCGTGTACTCACTCAACCCTAATATTTACTGCAGAGACATGAGAGAAGCATTGATCTTCTCATCTCTCAGAAGAAAGCCAGTAGGTAGATACACGTACTGGCATGTATACACACAGACAACATCTACCTGTTGATTGGACCTTTCTCCTGTGTTTGCACTGTTGTGTTCGCGCTGTGGGACCTTGCGGCTAGTGGCTCCGGTCCGGGACGAGTTCTGCATCTCCAACACTGATGGACTCGGGGTGCAGAACTCACGGAAACAACGTTTGAAGTTCTCATCCAGGTAGCCATAAAGAACTGGGTTCAGACTACTGCAGGGGGGCAAAAACAAGGTCACAGTTTAACACCAGAAAATCAGCTTCCCCATGAACTCGTCAACATAATTTTCACCTTTATATACAGTATAATGTGTGCTGTGTAAAGTACCAGTCAACTTAAGTTATTGTATAACGTGTACCAACAAATGTACATTATTAAAAAGTCAATACCATTTCCTCTTATCTGTAAAGCACACAATTTTTCTGCATCCTGTTATTGCCAATTACCCAGGCTTCCAATCTAAAATAGCACCACTCAACTTGTTGCATTTCATTGATAAAACTGAATACTCCTTGTGTGCAAATGCAGGAGAGCGACTGCCATAAGAAAAATACAGGTGTGGCAGTAGTACACACACCTCCACAAATTAAAAATGACAGCAACCAGAGTTCCAAGTAGTTTTTTTAAAACTATCAGTCAGAAAATCAAGCAAATTGTCACGTTTGGGAAGCAGTGACCAGCAAAACCCTCGTTTTTTTATAATTATAATAATTATACCAGAATTTTTGGGACTGATAGTTTTGATACTAGAGTGAATATGTTTGCCTAAAGCCACTGCCGGATGCATACCTGTTGGTGTAGCCCAGAGCGATGCAAAAGTGCCAGGTGATAGTCTGCAGTGTGGAGCTGGGGATATTAATCAGAGCTGTGATAATGACAAAGATGTGGATAGGTGTCCAGCAGACGATAAAGACGGCAACCACCACCAGGACCATGCGGGTGATCCGACGCAGGTTCCTGTCCTTTTCCTGTGTGTGTGTGAAAGAGTTAGGTGGTTTAGTGTTGGGGATAAGAGGGAGTGCAAGATGAATGTTGGAGAGGAAGAGGAAGGAGTGCAAGATGAGTGTTGG